GGACAAAGTGCCCGCCGCGGACAGGGCTGGGGCCCGAGAGGAAGGGGTAGCGGGAGGCTGTGCTGTGGTGCAGCCCTCTCCGCCGTGGAGCAAGGGAACGCGCGTCCCCACCCGCCGGGAGGGCCACCGGCGCGCGCCCACCTGTTCCTCCCGCCCAGGCTCTTCGGAGACAGCTGCCCAGTGGCCGAGCTCTCCAGCTTCTTGACGCCCGAGAGGCTTCCCTACCAGGAGGCAGTCCAGCAGGACTTCCGCCCCGCGCGGGTCGGCGACAGCTTCGGACCCACGTAGGTAACGCCCAGAAGCGGGACAGGGCCAATGGGGCCCCGCTCCCGGCTTATTCACCTCCCCTAAGGGCCCATCTCCACTGTCGGCTCTCTGCCCTAGACAGCCACTGCTGGGGCAGAGCAGCACCCTCTGCTGGGAACAGCTCCCTGGTCCCTCAGTCTTTATGGGAGAGTTTTTACTGCCTCCCTTCTCCCAGTCCCTGGACACCACTTAGGAAGGGCACTCTGGGACAGGTCACAGACCCCCTCATTCTCTGCCTCTTTCCCTCACCTTGCTGCACACCCCCGTTGCTCCTTTCTTGTGAATCAAACCTGAATACCTTGTGATGCTGCAAGTGCTTGGAGAAAGTCTCAAGCCCCTGCTGACCCTTGATCCAAGGAGGTGTGTCAAAAAGACAGGCCTTCAACCCCTAGGCCCATCTCAGTGGTTCTCTTGCAGTTGGTGGACCTGTTGGTTCCGGGTGGAGTTGACCATCCCCGAGGCATGGGTGGGTCAGGAAGTTCACCTTCGCTGGGAAAGTGATGGAGAAGGCCTGGTGTGGCGTGACGGGGAACCTGTCCAGGTGAGGACCCCTGCCCTAGGTCAGGTATGACCACATTTCAGACCTGATCTCTCCCTGATCAGCCACTCTCAGCTGAGGGGCTCTGCTTGCAGGGTGATATCAGGATTTCAGGACTGGGCAAGTTGCTGCTCGGGCTCCTGTGTAATTGGTCCTTCTCATACTTGAACGGATGGCTTATGGGTCTCAACACAATTAGTGCTAAACCAACCCTGCCACTGACTGGTCACCCTCCCATTCTGGGCTGAAAATAGTAACTAATCAAGTACAATAGTAGGTACAGCAGATCTATTTATTAACCCCTCACTAGGGGCCAGGGACCAGAGTAGTAGCTTTGCAGATTATATCATCTTTTATTTTGGTTTTTCATGAACTGGTTTTTATTATATGTAGTATATGCTTATGACGGTCAGTGGCAGGAGAGAGAGGTGGGGATTTTCAAACAGTTTTGGATAGCATAAAGTTTAAAAAGTCCTTTTCATCTGAAATAATGGATCTCTCCCACCCCATCTCCAATTTCCCAGATAGACCCCTATTAAAAGTACCTTGTTCATGCATCCAACCATACCATGTTTAACCTTCATAATCCTGTGTGGTAGGTCTTTATGGTCATTTACAGACTAAGAAACTAGGATATATAGAGGTCAGTGTACTGGGAAGCGGGTTCACACAGCTTCCATTCCAGTAGGACTAAGCCTCAGTCTCAGGTTAGGATTGTTTTTCTTCCTGTGAAAAAGAGGGCAGACCCCTCCCTCCCTTCACTGGCTCAGCAAATGTCTCCTCAGTGCCCTTTCTGGGCTGGTCCCTGTGCTAAGCACTGGGGATATAGCAGGGAATGAGGCAAACCTGTCTTTCCCTTCTGATGCTTATTCAGGGGTACAGAAGCCACCAGAAGCCACCCAGGATCTGACACCTACCTAAGGCCCCACAAAACTGGTGGCCTTTTCTGCTGGTAAACAGGTGCCATTTGGTGATCTTGCTGCTGACTGCCATAGGGGTTGGGGCACCTGCTACCAGGGGTCTCTGATATCTTGGTCTTACATGAGAGAGAGGAGCCAGTGCTGGGGACCCAGTGGAGGGGCCTGGCCTCCCTCAGCTTGTACTTCATGTGAACTGTCCAGAAGCCTCAGGCCCTGTCTCTTTCACTCTACTCCCCACCAGGGTTTGACCAAAGAAGGGGAGAAGACCAGCTATGTCCTGACTGACAAGCTGGAGGAAGAAGACCCCCGAAGGTGAGTGGGTCCCTGCACTGGGTTGACCAGTGCTGTAGGGGAGAGGGCACCAGTGGGCGAGAAGCTGAGGCCCCGAGTGATCTCAGAAACACACCCGCCTTCCACACAACCATCCTCAAATCTCAGAGTTGTCTTTAAAAGGCAGGCTTTTCCCCTCTGACTACAAAGATGTTTCGTTCTTGTGTTAAAGACAGAAAAGCAAAAAGAAGTAAATAGCTCCCCCATTATCTCACCACCTAGAGACGCCCACTGGTAACGTCTCAGCGTTCTTCTCAGGAATTCTTTCAGGCGTAGCTTTGTATTTCTTTGACATTTTGCATCCTGATTTTCTTCACTCGATATTCATTCTATATTATAATGTGCATTTTATGACACCATCAAAAATTCTTCTTAGATATTATTATTATATGTTATAATATTTATTGAACACTGTGTATCTGATGTTTCCAAACACTACAATGGTCCTTGACAGCAAGGAGGACTCATATATAGTTATATAATTACAAAGCTAATGAGGGCTCTGAAAGAAAACACTGGGAGCTCAACATGAGAAACCTGTTCCAGACTAAGGAGAAGGGTAGGAGGAGGGTCATGGAAGGCTTCTCTAAGGAGGTCATGTTTGCTCCCTAAAGACAGTAGAACATCACCACAGGCCGCCATGCTGCTGCAAACAGTGGCCTGCCTCATGCTGGCTGATGGGTCTTTGCTCTGAAAGATTGGACCTGGGAGATCCTCATGTATTTTTAATATGAAGAGGGTGCCAAGGCCAAGGCACTGCTTTGTAAAGACAGCCTTGGAAATAAAAGGCTGAGCAACAGCACAATTCACACGGTTCCAAACTTGGCTGCTTATTCTCCCCAGCGTTCATCAGAACACTTATCAGCAGAATGTGGAATTAGTCTGTTGTTTCTACCGTGACCCTCTCACACATGCAGCTGAAATACTGTGGGACCCTCTAGGTGATAGATCTTGGGGATGCATGGGGAGGGGTCTGTTGGATGCCTCCTTGGTCCTCCCTCTCCCAGCCCCAGAGTCCTCTGCCAGTCTCTTGGCCTGAGGCTGCCTCCCCACATTTGTAGCCTGACTCTCTATGTGGAAGTAGCCTGCAATGGGCTCCTGGGGGCCGGAAAGGGATCCATGATCGCAGCCCCTGACCCAGAGAAGATGTTCCAGGTGAGCCGGGCTGAGCTGGCCGTGTTCCACCGGGATGTCCACAAGCTTCTGGTCGATCTGGAGCTGCTGCTGGGCATGGCCAAGGTACTCGACACCCCCACCCACCCTGGTCACTCTGGAGCCCTGCTCCAGGCAAGCTATTTCTTGGGTTGGGACTCTGAGAATCCAGAATAAGGAGCAGTTTCTGCCTACCTGAGTGTTGGGAGGATTTCCCCGTGTAAAGGGGAGGAGGCAGGCCGGCCGAAGAGGGGATTAGCAGGAGCAAAGGGTTGGAGGTAGGGAGGAACTCTGCTGAGAACCCTTGTGAGATCAGCTGGGTCCTTGTTTTGGAGACTCTGCTTGCTTGAGATGGGGAGTAAGGGACAGAACCCTGCTGCAGGGCCTTGGGGAGGACAACCAGCGCAGTTTCCAGGCCCTGTACACAGCCAACCAGATCGTGAACGTGTGTGACCCTGCCCAGCCTGAGACCTTCCCAGTGGCCCAGGCCCTGGCCTCCAAGTTCTTTGGCCAACGTGGAGGTGAAAGCCAGCATACCATCCATGCCGTGGGGCACTGCCACATTGATACAGGTAGGGCAGCAGCTGATGGGTTGGCTGGGGAAGCAGGAGTGGCCTTGAAGCCCTGGTTGTGCCCTGGCAGCACTGCATGATCCATATCAAGTTCTTGCCCCTCTTGGACTTCAGTTTGCCCGATCTGTACAGTGGGGCAAGGGGAATGGACTGTGAGCTTTGCTAGGTGTGGCTTCATTTATTCTTTCAACATAATCTGATGCCCCATGTGGCCCCATGCTAGATGTTGGGGGGTAAGGATTAGAGAGACTGATGATCACAAAATAGGCAGACACAGTTAGTGCCATGATGGAGGGAAGTATGGAGGGCTGGGGAGCTCAGAAGAGGCACTTAACCCAGCTGGGTCTGGGGAATTCAAGAAAGGCTTCATGGAAGAGGTGACTTTTGAACTGAGTGAGGATGAGTAAGAGTTTGACGGGGGTCCCCAAGTCCTCATATAGAAGTGGAAGTAATTAAAATTGGGGTTCAAGCATAGGGGGAGGTTTCCAGGGAAGGGTTCAGGAGTTCAGTTTTGAACCTGAGGCTTATGGGGAATCTACATGTTTAACAAACTCCCCAAGGTACTGATTCTCATCCAGCTAAAGTTTCTGAACCACAGAACAAGGGCTTTCTTTGATGTGCGAAAGGGTGGATGTGGGGTCTGGCCTGGTAAGGAGCCTAGAGGTTAGAGGAGAGGCAGTGATGCCTCATGTAGGATGGCCGGCCTGGGCAGGTCCATCTCGGGAAGCTGTGCCCTGTATTCCAGGACATCCTTCAGTGTGTGTGTGCAGGGGAAGGGTTCACCCCTCTGCCTCTTCCAGGATCCTCCCTGGGAGTGTCTAGACCTCAGAGTGAGGCTAGTCCAGGGACTGAGGCCTCCATTTCCTGCACTGTAAAATAGACCTGATAGCCCCAGCCAGCCTCCTTTCCCCAGCCGCTACTCCCATCTTGCAAGAGTGATGTAAAGTGACAGCTCAGGAGCAATGCCACAGGACTTCGAGGGGAAAGCGCTTGGGATGGGAGAACGCTAGGATGACCCTCCGGGGATCCAAGCTGGGCCTGGTTGAGTGCTGGGGGGCAGGGGTGAGGCTGGAGATCTGTGAGGAGCCCCCAGCTCCTTGCCACTCTCTCTCCACCCTCTGTCCCCCTGCTTGTCTAGCCTGGCTCTGGCCCTTCAAGGAGACGGTGCGGAAATGTGCCCGGAGCTGGGTAACAGCCATTCAGCTCATGGAGCGGAATCCTGAGTTCATCTTTGCCTGCTCCCAGGTCAGAGGGACAGCGGTGTCAGGGCACCTGGAGCCTAGGAGGTCCTAGTGTGAGATTCTGAGGGCTTCTTGGGCCTAAGGGGCAAGGCTCCTTCTCACCCTCAGCCACCCGCTGGGTCCCAGGTACTCAGCCCCAGGTGGGCGTTCTTGTCACTCCTAGTGCAGCTCCTGCCCCATCTGTCCCACAGGCCCAGCAGCTCCAGTGGGTAAAGAGCTACTATCCTGGCCTGCACGCCCGGCTCCAGGAGTTCGCCTGCCGTGGGCAGTTTGTGCCCGTGGGGGGCACCTGGGTGGAGATGGTAAGTGCAGTCTGCAGCCCCTCAGTACCGTCATGCCTTCCCTCCTCAGCTTCGCTGATGACTTTCTGCAGGCCCTTCACGCCCCATCCCTGATGGCGCTGATTAGTCCCCGGAATCCCAAGGCCTGGGACTCATGGGGGACGAGGGCCTTAAGCACCGTGACAGGCTGTCTGTATGACCCAGCTCCGGGAACAGACAGTTGGTCCTGCAGCCAGGAGATGGACACCTCCCGGGCACTGGCTGTAACCTGGTGTCAGAGCCCTGGCTTCTCCTGATGGGGTGGGGCTGGCCTGAGCCCCTGCCTGTTCCCATCTGATGCTGACCCGGCTGCCCCCTGCTTCCCTCCCTGCAGGATGGGAACCTTCCCAGTGGAGAAGCCATGGTGAGGCAGTTCCTGCAAGGACAGAACTTCTTCTTGCAGGAGTTTGGGAAGATGTGCTCCGAGGTAGGCTGGGAGCTGCTTGGCCTGCGGGCAGATGGGGCTGGAGCTTGACCTTGAGTGACGAGGGCCTGAGGCTGTGGCTGCTCCGCCAAAAGCCCTGGTACCCGTGCCCCAGAGGCCCTTTTCCCTACAGTTCTGGCTGCCAGACACATTCGGCTACTCAGCACAGCTCCCCCAGATCATGCGCAGCTGTGGCATCAGACACTTCCTCACCCAAAAACTGAGCTGGAACTTGGTGAACTCCTTCCCGGTGAGCAGGCCCCAGGGGCCAGGGGCAGAGGGGGCCTGGGTCCCACCTGGCCTGTTCATCTCTCTCCAGGCTTATTGAGGGGTCCTGGACAGACCACCCAACCCCCACCCAGAGAGGGCATGCCTCCCCCAGGGTCACACAACAGGCAGAGATAGGTCTGGGAGGCCTGGCTCTGCCTCAGCCCTGATTCTGGCCTCTCTCTTCCTGCTCCGTCCCCTGCCTGCAGCACCATACCTTTTTGTGGGAGGGGCTGGATGGCTCCCGTGTGCTGGCCCACTTCCCGCCTGGTGACTCATATGGAATGCAGGGCAGTGTGGAGGAGGTGAGAGGGCACCTATGGCCGAGGTGGGGGATGGGGGGCAGGCTGGACAGGGCTGGGTATCCTGCCCTAAGCTGACACATGCTGACCTGCCCCGCCTGTCCAGGTGCTGAAGACCGTGGCCAAAAACCGGGACAAGGGGCGGACCAACCACAGTGCCTTCCTCTTTGGCTTTGGGGATGGGGGTGGTGGCCCCACCCAGACCATGGTGGACCGCTTGAAGCGGCTGTGCGATACAGATGGGCTGCCCAGGTCAGGCCTGGCCTCACTCAGCCCCACCCTCAGCCCTTGCCTGGAGCTCTTCCTTCTGCTCAAACACTGGGCCCAGCCCCTACCCTAGACCTTGTCCCCCTCCAATCCTGGACCATGGGCGCCTCCCAACTTCTACCCTGGGAGGAGGGTGGGGAAAAGCCGAGGGTGGGAAAGGGCTTAAACCCACTGGAAAGAGAAATCTCCTGGGGTGTCCCAAACTGGCTTTGTGTGGACAGGGAGCTTTCTGGGGTCAGCCCCTGTCAGTCGGGGCTGGATATCTTGTCTGCCCTTGCGTGGAAGAAGGGTGAGTCACGTGGCCAAGGCTGGGAGACCTAAGCTCTCGGTCCCCCTCAGGGTGCAGCTGTCTTCTCCGGGGCGCCTCTTCTCAGCACTGGAGAAGGACTCGGGGCAGCTGTGCACTTGGGTCGGGGAGCTCTTCCTGGAGCTACACAATGGCACCTACACCACCCACGCCCAGGTCAGAGCTGGTGGCTGAGCCAGGCGGGGAGAGTGTGCCCTTGAGAGGCCCAGAGGGTCAGAGGAGGGAGCAGGGGACGGAACCCAGCCCAGACCTAGGGGAAGAGGCTTGTGTTCCACAGACGAGCTGAGAGGAGAGAAGAGCAGGAGGCCAGGTGGATCAGGAGCCTGAAGGAGGAAGGACTGAGCATCCCTGAAGGAGGAGGGGCTTGGGCTAGGGGAGAGGTGGGAGGCATTTGGGGCAGATCACCCATAAGAGGCTTTATCCAGGAAGCCTTGGGGAGCCATCCCGGGTCTGAGCAAGGAAAGGCTTTGGAAGGTGTCCTGGGATGCTTGAACAGATTCTAGACTGATCCCCCTACCCTGGGCTCAGATCAAGAAAGAGAACCGGGAGTGTGAGCGGATCCTGCACGACGTGGAGCTGCTCAGCAGCCTGGCCCTGGCCCGCAGTGCCCAGTTCCTATACCCGGCGGCCCAGCTGCGGGACCTCTGGAGGTCAGCCCAGCTTCTGCCCCCTGCCACCCACCGACCTCACCCCCAGACACCTCTGTGGCTGCCCCTCCCTCCCAGCCTTCCCCAGCCCTGCCCTTGGCCCCTGCAGGCTCCTGCTCCTGAACCAGTTCCATGATGTGGTGACTGGAAGCTGCATCCAGCTGGTGGCAGAGGAGGCCATGTGCCACTACGAAGGTGAGACAGGCAACATCCCCACTGCTCTCTGCAACATTCAAGACAGAGCTCAGAGTGTCCCCTGTGGGACACCCAGGGATCATACAGACCCACTGCCAGCCATGACTGACCAGTCTCTCCCCAGACATCCGTTCCCATGGAAACACACTGCTCAGCGCCGCAGCCGCAGCCCTGTGTGCTGGGGAGCCAGGTCCCAAGGGCCTCCTCATTGTCAACACGCTGCCCTGGAAGCGCACGGAAGTGTTGGCCCTACCCAGGCCTGGCGGGGCCCACAGCCTAGGTACCAGCTTGGGAGAAGGGTGGCTACTACGGCAGGAGGGAGATCAAGGCCAAACCAAGAGTCGAGGATCTCTGCTGGGGGTGCCTCAGGCTAGACAGCTACTACTCACCCCCTCCACCCCCACCCCGAGTAAGGTTCCTGAGAAGTCAGAGAGGCCGCACTGATGCCCAGGCCTCATCCCCAGCCCTGGTGACAGTGCCCAGCATGGGCTATGCTCCTGCTCCCACCCCCGCCTCACTGCAGCCCCTGCTGCCCCAGCAGCCTGTGTTCGTTGTGCAGGAGGTGAGTGCTGGCACGTCACCGTGGTGGTGGGGGGCTGTCCCGGGCTGTGCCTAACAACATGGGGGTTCTGAGCTCCCCAGCCTGGAGCAAGTGGTAAGGAAGGGCTGGGGCTGTGGGAGCTATTGGTTGTGGGAAGCCCCTGCAGACTTAGCCTCAAGGCCCCCTCCCACCAAGATTGACGGTTCTGTGACTCTGGACAACGGCATCATCCGGGTGAGGCTGGACCCAACTGGCCACCTGACGTCCCTGGTGCTGGTGGCCTCTGGCAGGTGCTAACCCCTCACTGCCCTCTCCCAGTGCCTGGCAGGCAGATCCCAGACCTCAATCCCTCTGTCCCCTGGCCACAGCTGCCCACAGTAGCCCACCAGTGGCTCTGGACTGGGACCCACACATGGAGCGGGATAGGCTGGTTTAGGAGTCCCCTGTCCCCTGGGTCTACTCACCCTGCCCACATACCTGGAACAGCTGAAGAGACCAGGGTCACAGAGTTGTAAAATATCAATCCTCGTGTCCTTCTAGGGAGGCCATTGCTGAGGGCGCCGTGGGGAACCAGTTCGTACTATTTGATGACGTCCCTCTGTACTGGGATGCATGGGACGTCATGGACTACCACCTAGAAACACGGTGCGGGGCGGACAGCACTTGGGGTGGTGGTGGGAATACAAGGGTGTTGGGCCCCCTCCACCAGGCTTCCCTGGCTCAGCGCCTCCCTCCCTCCCCTCCCCTATTCCACAGGAAGCCAGTGTTGGGCCAGGCAGGGACTTTGGCAGTGGGCACTGAGGGTGGCATGCGGGGCAGTGCCTGGTTCCTGCTGCAGATCAGCCCCAACAGTAGGCTCAGCCAGGAGGTCGTGCTGGACGTTGGCTGCCCTTATGTCCGCTTCCACACCGAGGTAGCAGGGGCAGGGTGGCAGGTAGCTTCCCCGGGTGTGGCTAGTGAGGAGGGGCCAGCCCAGGCCCATCCCTCCCCTTGCACCCCACCCCTACCTCAGGTGCACTGGCATGAGGCCCACAAGTTCCTGAAGGTGGAGTTCCCCGCCCGTGTGCGGAGCCCCCAGGCCACCTATGAGGTCCAGTTTGGACATCTGCAGAGGCCTACCCACTACAACACTTCTTGGGACTGGGCTCGATTTGAGGTCTGACATGGGGTGGGGGGGGTGGGGGTTTGGATCCTCCCTGGCTGAGGAGAAACTAGTTGTGTGGTATGGGGTGAGGAGAAGGAAGGTGATGATCAGTATTTACTGGTTCCTAACACGTGCACCAGGCATTGTGCTAAATGCTTTGTTTAGTTTGACACTCATGCCCATTCGGTGGGTTAAGTACTGTTATCCCCTTTTTCCAGATGAGGAACTGAGGTTTAGACAGGTTGGGTGGTGTGAGCAGGGCCTCCTATAAGTGAGAGCTAGAATGCAATCCTGTGGTCCCAGAGCTTCCCTCAGTCTGGTGACAGGAGCTCTGGAGCACAAGGAGGAGGCGGGGCCACCAAGTGGGTCTGGGATCTACGGATCTACCCTCCAGGTGTGGGCCCACCGCTGGATGGATCTGTCAGAGCATGGCTTTGGGCTGGCTCTGCTCAATGACTGCAAGTACGGCGCGTCAGTACGAGGCAGTGTCCTCAGCCTCTCACTGTGAGTGGGGTGTCCCTGGGACACTGGCATGGGAGCGTGGGGGCGCAGTCTTCCTGGGCCAAAACTTAAGCAGCTCAGCCCGGCCTTTACCCACCCTTCCCACCCTAGCTTGCGGGCACCTAAGTCCCCTGACGCCACGGTTGACATGGGGCGTCACGAGTTCACCTACGCGCTGATGCCGCACAAGGGTGAGTGCCTCGGCCCCGACGCCCCTCTGCCCTTCCTAGCCTCGCTTGTCCCAAGGGTCAGTGGGGAAAACTTCAGGCGTCCCTCGCCCCTACCCTCATTTCCACCACGCGTCCCTTTCTGGTTCGCACCCAGGCTCCTTCCAAGATGCTGGCGTTATCCCCGCTGCCTACAGCCTCAACTTCCCCCTGCTGGCGCTGCCCGCCCCGGGCCCGGCGCCCACCGCAGCCTGGAGCGCCTTCTCGGTGTCCTCGCCCGCTGTCGTGTTGGAGACGGTCAAACAGGCAAGGGCCGCGGCGGGGGCCGCGGCGGGGGCTG